TGATGTGTGCGATGGGTCTTCAGAACATTTAGGTTAAGGTCATCTAATGTTTTAAATAAAATGAGAAGGTGTTAAGTTTTATGTTTTGTATTAAAACATTATGATTTATAATATACATTTATTTTTCTTTGGGCCAAATGTTCTTTGTGGCCAAATCAACTTTATATGTAACTTCACTTTTTTCCTTTTCTGTTGATCCGGTGGATAATAAACAAGTCGAGAACGTTGCTTAGTTTATTTCTCTTCTTTTAATGTCTTTCAATATTATATCAATTAATTAAACGATCTACGTAACAAGAAATTTAACAAGACCATCTCATACCTACGCTTCGATTCGACTGATGAATTGCAGAGTCGAAAAAGTTCCGCCTGTATTGTGTCGGCGGTACGTTTCCGTATTGTCCTTGGTATTTAGCTTGATACCGAGTATCGAACTTGATATCTTCGAAACGTTTTGAACCAAATATTATCACTTGATACCAATACTTTTGAACATCGATTTATCAACTGGATATATTATTGTTAACGGTTATTTAATTTTTATTTAAGCTCTTCATTGATAAATTTATTTGACTTACTCGTGTTGTATGACATCTTTGCTCATTCTCTGTCTCCAATTCAAGTTGGGGGAAGGGAATTTATATAATAAAAACTGTTCGAAACTTAATTTTGGTGGCTATCAATATAATACAAAACCATTTGTTAACCGGTTCACCCTTTTGTTATATGAAAGAAAATGTTAAATCAACTAAAAATTGATCCAAGGGGATTTCTGTCTCCGACATTCAAACGGGGGCTGGCGCCAATGTGTGTTATCGTTTTGTGTTACCTCACCAGCACGGCAGCTGTTCCATTATTTGAACAGAATTAAAATAGCTAAAATTGAAAATAAATTTTACTTTTATTCGGCAAATCATGTTTGAGATTTTGATGAAAGAGTCGTTTGGCTTTCAAACTTTTAACAAGGAAACAACCAGTGAAGTCTTTAATAACGGCAGAAAAAATATTGATATTGGTCATCATTCTAGGCTGGTTTCAACATTATTAACCTAATAACGTAATTTTATCTTAATATAGAAAAACTACGTTATGAAATTAACAATACTGAAACCAGCATAGAATTTTTAGAATATTGTATAAAAAAAGTTTTTTTACCAAAAAGTGTGTATATTTATTTTAGTTGTTATCATCATTGTTACAGTGAATTTTTTTCATTACGGTTGAATGGCAGCCCTTCATCATGGCTGACGTTCGTGTGTTGTTGGTCGCAGCTGTCATCGTACCCATCCATGCCTTCCTTGCTCTCGTCTCCACTCCATTCTATTTATTTAAGTTTTAATTTATGATTTTGATTATAATTAGTTAATTGTTTATATAATTTAAAAGATGAGCTATAATATATATATATATATATATATATATATATATATATTTTCAATTCAATAATGAGTTTATTCAGCAAAAAGCTAGAAGACCCGAAGATATTACTTGTTGGGCCACCATAAAATTTATAATATATAAATATATAAATTTTAAAATATATAATATAAATATATAAATTTTAAGATATATAAATAGTATATCTATTTGCTAACTTATTATACCATGATACGCGCTAGCTAGTATAGGTATAGTTTAATTTAAATTAATGTCGCGTGGTCTTTTTTACTTGTTTGATTTTTGTTTTTCACCATTGTAAAAAATAATTTAAAACAATGTCGAAATTTATTTTTAAACTACTAAAAAAATTGCTCAACCTCCCTCGCTACTGCTTGTTGAGTCACATTCCTCCAAGAAACCAACATCATTCTCCGAGCTTCCGTCTATTTGCATGTTTGATGAGTTTGTAACTCCACTCAAGACTGTTTCTAAATGAACGCCTATAAGTTTATCATATTCTAATTCCTTACAGTTTGTTGACATTTCCATGGATCGATTAGTTGTTGTCACTGAATGCAAATGTCAAACGTTCATAAACTTTTCTTATCACAATTTGAGTAGAAATATAAGATCGAAAAGCAAATCGGATTTTAATGCATAAAATTTAATTTTAAATAACCTTCGTAAATGTTACAATTCATGTTGTTTGCGAAAACTCTTATTTTTTCCTGTAAATCTAAAGGCAGATTGTCGAACTTCATCACATTGAAATTAATACAGCTAGAACTTTTACATTTTTCATAACAACTGTTACTCAATGCAAACCATTTGCCATCATAAGAAACAACTTCTAAAATGTTTTTGTTGCCTTTTAAGTTGTTTGATTTTTCTGTCGAATTATCATGTGTTGCATGGTCAAACTTTTGCGAATGATTCCGTTTTGCTTGATGAGGAGAATGCTTCATCTGATGACAACGGCTTGGAGATGACGGAAGAGGTAAAATGTTTGAAATGTTCAAGTTCACTGTCTGCTCATCCATGATAGACAATAATCGGTTTATTAAATAAAAATTAAAAAATTATTGTACATCAAATCATACCGATACTTTTATTATTGTAAGAAGCTTGGACACAAGTAGATGTTCTTATCCTGCAGATTATAAGCACACATGATGTATACTATACATACAACTTGCATGCAATATCCACTCTACACTGCTGGTCGAAATAATGTCATGTCATTGAGTAATAAATTAATCCAAAAATAATCTTTTCAATATGGCTTTTTATACAAATTATAATTTGGAAAACATGGAAATGATTTAAAAATATATTTTCAATGACAACAGTGCTTAAAAATATTCTATCTTACTTATATAATATATATATATATATTATATTACTAACATATATATATATATATATATATATATATATATATATATATATATGTGTGTGTGTGTGTATGTGTGTTTGTGTACGTACGTGGTAAGCATGCGTGCGTGTGTGTGTGTGCTCATTTTGTGTGTGAATAGGTGCATAGGTGCCTTAGAATTATTGATTGTGATGCAGGCTAATATGAGCGGATGCACGCAGGTCCTCCTTCCTTTCAGCTATCTTCTGCATGTCAACATCTCACACATCTCACAAATATACCACTTTTTCAAAATTTCTGTTTAACACGTTTAACAAACTCCTAAATGAATTTGCATTTACATATTTTGCACAATCGGTTCTACTTTTTAAAAATAAATAGATGAATGGAACTAACTAGTTTATTAATTTGTTTTTCAAAACTTTTGGTGTTTTTTGAACCTTCCAAAGAAGTTTGTATCCGTTGTTCTATGGCATGCTATTAATATCTAAAAAGTTGTCAAATGCCAGACTAGAAATCGTTCTGGTTGAGATTATCGATCAACCATGAATCCATCCCTTAATCAATGCCTTAATCAATCAATTATTCAAACAATCAATCAATCAGTCTGATACGAAATGTTGCACCGTTAAAATTAAATGAAAATTTTTTTCATTGTTATGATGAAAAGAGCAAATGTCACCTTTCACCAAACGTTTGGTACTGCAAATTAAAAAATTGTGTTGGATTATAAAATAATAAATAGACTAACCAGAATTGTGTTTAATTTTTTGTTCTAAAATTAAGGTTTTTAAATATTTTGACTCAGTGACAGAGAGTCTAGCCTAGCGGTTCTAAACCCTTTTAACACCGCGACCCCTTGAATACTAACCCTCATGATGTGGCGACCCCCAATCCTAAAAATTGTTTTTTTATTATATATTCATACCAAAGTTACTGTACTTTTACTACTCCGATATAATACTACATCACAATTTAAATAAATTAAAAACTACATCATAGGTGAAACATTTTATTTAGCCATAAACAACGGCTTAAACATAAACAATGTTGAAAAAAGTATGTTCATAAAAACGAAATGTTAGTGAAAAGGTAGAGCTTGTTTTTGTTTCAAAAAATAAGAAATTCTAGGGTCAGTCTTTGAAAGAGCACATCGAAGATCATCTTCTGCATCGAGTCTACTTCTATATTTAGATTTAATAACTAAAAGATTGGAAAATCCAGTTTCACAAAAATATAATGTTGGAAATGGAAAAAGAAGGCGCAACACTGTTTCAGAAAAAATGGGATATAATTTTAAAAATCTTATCCAAAACTGAGAAATTGACATTGAAACGTAATCCTTTTTTACCGTATCGTTATTAAGGAAGTCAATAAACTCTTTCTGAGATGGTTCAGGAAAATCTTCAACTTTTACCATGAATGGACTTCTAGCAAATGCAAATGGGATATCAGGCAAATTTTGAAAATATGACCATATATCATCTGCAAGCATTTTTGAATAACTTTGTATAGAAATGATCATTGAGTACCGTTTGTTAGGTTCGGTGTAATTTTCTTTATAAAAGGCGGATAAAGTTGGCAGCATATAAATTTTATTTTTGTCCAATTTAGTTTGCCAAAGCTGAAATTTCATTTGAAAGGATCGGATCTTTTCAGACAAGTCAAAACATGTTGAATTTGGACCTTGAAGTGATAGATTCAATTTATTCAAATTGGCAAATATCTCAACAATGTAGGACATTTTCTGTAATTCAGTTTTATTGCTATTCAGTGTTTCAAACTGAGGTTTTGCTTTTTGATTAAAAAAACTGTTTGAGCTCATTACGAAGATCGAAAACACGTTTTAAAACTTTTCCTCTCGACAACCATCTTACTTGCGTGTGAAATAGTAAAACGTTGTTTGATGCATGTGACTCATCACGAAGTTTTGAAAACAGTCAACTGTTTAAAGCACTTGTTTTCACAAAATTGATTAAAGTAACGAAATTTTTCATTACTTTTTGTAACTCTTCAGGCAGCTGCTAATATTTTTCGATGAACCATAGAGCGAGTTCCGACGGTTTTTGGTGATTCATTCTGAACCAAACGTTGAAATCCAGACCGACATTCTAGCATATTTGGAGCACCATCTGTGCAGATACCACAGACATTTTCAAGAAATGTTATAATTTTCCAGAAATGAACCAATTTTATTAAATACATCTCATGCAGAAATAGTAGTTTTAGATGTTTGCAAAAAAGAAACTCGTCTTTAAAATAACCATCATTGCGTAAACCAGCAATTGTGAACAATTTGCAACGTCTGTGCATTCATCAAGCTGGTAACTAAAAACTGGAAACTAAGCAGATTTAATTTCTTGGATTATCTGATGGATAATATCAGCAGACATATCATTTAATCCCTTGCAAACCGTGTCATTTGACAAAGAAATTAAACTCAATTTTGTAACATATTCGGCTCCAATCATAAATCTTACAATATCTTTGGCCGCTGGCAAAATCAACTTCTTGGCAATGTTGTGAAGTTTCATAGCTCTAGCAATCCTGAGAGCTGCTAGAGTCTAATATAGATTTTTTTAATCCATCAGCTTTACATCTGAAATAATTGGCGTCTTTGTTGGCTGAGTTTAGATGCTTGCTTTCAAAATGACGTTTTAATTTGTTTGACTTCATAGATTCAGCAGATAAAACTTCATTGCAAATTACCCATTGTGGTTTCTCAATTCCCGACGTAACAATTGAAGTAAAACTGTACCTTAAAAATTCGTCATTATATTTTTTTTTCAAGTTTTTTCTTTAAGATCCATAATAGAAACAAAAACAGATTTACCGTTGGGAGAAAAAAAATAAACAATTAGCTATAAATAATGACAGCGTTTGTCAAATTTTTAAAAACTCAATGACGCATAACAACCGTTATCATGGAAATGAACAGAACATAGAAATAATATCTTCTTACAATGTAAAAAAAAAATTTCTGCAACACAAATCAATAATACTACAGTAAAAACTTGTTACATATCTGAATACAAAAAAAATACAATTTTATTAATTAATAGATTAAAAATAAAAAAATGATAGGTCTTTATGGTTGATGGCTTGAATGTATTTTTGCACAATCGGAGAAATTGGGGATGGTCATCTCAGGCGACTCCTGGAAAATCGTCATTCAACCCCTTTGGGGGTCGCGACCCAAAGATTGAGAACCGCTGATCTAGTCGATGGATATATCCGTGGTCTATCCTGAAACTCCAACGGTGAAGACTTTTTATGAATAATTAATTTATAAGTGTAAATACTTTTGAAAGACTTTAGGTTTGCCACAAAAAGTTTGCCATGTATAGATTATAAAAATGAAATAATGAAATGTTTCTACAATGCTCCAGTCAATTTTTGTTAATGTCCTGCATTCTTTGGTAGTTTGTCTACTGTCTATACCGTCACGCCGAACAAAACTACAAACAATACCTGTTTAAAAATATTGAAACTTTAACAACATACTACATAAAAGTACAACTTTTACTCTGGTTAGATCTGATTGGGTTTAAAAAAAGATCACACACGTACACGAGTAACAACAATTCCGATGAATTTTAACAAGTTTAGTTAGGATAGCCTCCAAATTATTTTAAGATGTAAAGTGTTTAATTTTTTTTAGCTATTTCTGCAATTTTATGCAAATGATCCTGCCACCAATTTCTGTTAAATAATGAAATACAGATTCAATGGTTTTATTCTTAGTTTTTAAGTTTACAGTTTAACGTATTTGAGCCAATATTAATTATTTATGAATTAATAACTATTATTATTATTATTATGTCGTTATTTACGGCGGTAAATCCAGAATTTTGCGATAAGACAGGGGAAAGATAACTTTCTGAAGTTGACGACGTCCGATTTTATTATTATTTGATTATTTTTAAAAATTTATCAAAATTTTAATTTTTTGTTGTATTATTTGACAGTTAATCTCCTTTAGAGTCATTATTTTTTAATGAAGATAATACTATATTATGGCGTTGTTAATGGATGCCTGCGGTCTGCCAGCCTGGTTAGATAGATAAATACTGACTACTTCTGCTAGCGATTGCAAATTGCCAGTAATTACTGAGCTACACAATATAAGACTAGTTTAAAATTTCATTACAAAAAACAAATTTTTGGACATTAAAAATGGTGTTGATAGTTTGGATTTTATTATTATGTAATAACAATACACATGTTTTGGAAAGCGTTTGCGACATATTATATCTTCAGCTTTTACGGTTTACCTACGGTTTACCACGGTCACGAAGTGATTCCTAAATTTAAATATTCTTATTTTGAGAAAAAAAAGCTTTCAGTGTCAGCTGCTCATTTTGGTATGCGTTAGCTGTCCATCTAACTGCCTCTAATTAGTTTTTGATTTTACGGCACGTTCGCGGTTAACTTTTAATTATAGTTTTAAGAATGTTAGTGAACAATAAAAAAAGAACGAAAACATTGATTTGGCAAAATACATTTATTAATAATTCAAAAGTAATCAGAGTTTAATTTTAATAAATGAGCATCAGAAGAAAAAGTTGATATGAAAATATTGAACGATTCACGTCTCCGATAGTCAGTCAAAATAAATGAAAACATTGCCATCCTTAATTCCTTAGGTTCTCTAAAACATTTGAGCGGTTATAAAACATTAACAATAAAAACATAACTCTCGAAGTCTGACAGCCAAAAGAACTGATGAAAACAAACAAGGAATAACACAATTTTGGAAGAAATTGACTTGCAATTAATTATTTTAATCAAATTTTTGCCTTTGAGAATGGTAATTTAAAAACAAACCATTTTATGTTAAAATTCTTAAAATTTGCCTTAACGAGAAAATGCAGAGTAAAAACAGCACAAGCTTAAAGAAACAAAAGCAAACGAACTATGTTTGTGCAAAAGACATAAGTAAACTGAGATTTCCTGTTTGAATTGATAAAACACAATTTAATTAAAACAACCAACTGCAGTTTAATAGAAATATAAGTGCAATTTGATTGTTCCATGTAAAATCATACATTAACAGTCCATCTCTTCAATCGAATGCGTTAATTTCACAAACACTTGCCTACTCCATGGCTCTTCAGATGATCCACGCAAGAACCAACGGATATCAAAGACATCGAATGTATTTTTTCCTACTAAGCAAGTCACACATGTAATCCAAACGATTATAACTTTCGTTCATAATTGTCATCCAGTTATAGCTGGCATGCAAGTAGCATAAATATATGCGGAGATTACAAATAACATTAATTCATAAGCCTAAAGTCAATACATCATTAATTACATATAACTAACGATTTTTTATATACAAAACAAATAGGAACCTTTTCGATACTGAGTGAATGTGTAATTGAAATCATTCGATGGAAAACAACCTAAAAGTTGTTCTCTGCCTACATATAATCTATATGAACGATCTATAGAAAGAAAACAGCTATTAAAACATAAAAATTTCGATAAGACAACGAATCCACAGCTAAGCTGCACAACATTCATGATAGAATACATTTCTAATTTAGGTATTGAACATTCAATTATATCCACAATTTTCTTTATACTAAGATTAAATATATAAAAATAATTATGACAAATCTCTGGAATTTTCAAGTCAAAAGCACTACATAGAAAGACTTGGTGATATTTTCACATCAATGAACTTCTCAATCAAATCTTCAAAATCTGTAAGATAGTCTTTATATGGGCTGATAATCCATCTTCATAACTTTACATAGTCCCATTTATTAACTGAAAATTAAATGTATGAAAATGGTGAATAAATGACTATACAAATGAATAAATAAATTAAACGAATCAAACACACAGATATCTAAATTTTATATACACACTAGATACTGTGTGAATTCTAAGTAATTATTGGCTTCACGTTCACTAATTGTAGTTTTCTAGTGAGATAATGTTGGAAAGATGAACTAGAAATTATTCAATGCCTATAACTCGACAAACTGTGATGTGTCTATGCATGCAAAGCGCACATGACTGCTGTCCTCAAATCTATTCTGCTCTCTCGACAAACCTCCACAAGGAATTTATTTGGTTTCAACTCATTTCGAAAGTCTCTATTTACTTCATATCATATATTTCGTTTTGAAATAGCATAAATAAAAAAAAATAAACGAATGAAAAGCAGGCAAAGTGACAAAAAATGAAATGAATGAATGAATGAATAGAATGAATGAAAAGAATGAATGAAAAGCACCTTCCTCTGGTACATCCTCAGCAGGAGCGGCTGGTGGCGCCTTTTGAACATCAAAATAATAAATTATTACTTTCACAAAATTGATGTGTTTGAAGAAATGTTTAAAAATATTTTAACATTGGATGTTTAGTAAAAGGAAAACACATCCCAGCAGAGTGTTTAATAAAAAAAAGCACATACGGCGTGGACGACAGCAGCGGCATCTTCCTTTGATATGACGAACTTGCTTTCTTTTAAACTGGTGCACATGCTGAATTCATTTGTTCAATACATTAAAATCAATCAGTTAGTTCATGTCCTATCAAATATATCTATGAATGAAAGTGATTTTTTAAATACGGGTAAGAAATTCATAAAGACACTCAAAAACATATGAAAATCATAATTATTTTACAAATTTTAACATCGTCAACCGATCTATCAACCAGCCAGCCAACAACCAGCCAAACAAATAACCTCAACAACAAACAACCGGCCAACCAATCAACTAACCACGATATTCCAGCTGGATCAGCTTTGCCATGGATTAGTTGATTCCACTGCTCATGGGCTTGGCATATGATTTCCAGAGCAAATTCCTTCATGTTAATGAATAAATAACATAAACCATAGCCATAATAACATTATAAACATTAAATATATAGATACATAAAATAAAAACATGTACAAACTAAACAAATAATATACTAAATCAACTCAAGAGTATCAAAAATAAAGTCAATTAATACGCACAAGATGTTAACATATTTACAAAATAATTCAAAATTTGTACTGTGATTTATCTTACATTTATCTCACTTACTGCGTTGTTATATGGGGTATATTTTAAATGGGATATTGAGTCAACTAACCACACTTAATAATCTCAGTAGGTAATAATGCAAACTAAAGCGTTCTTTTAAGCAATCATATTAATACAATAATAAGTATAGTTTATAATAAAATTGGTGAAAATAATGAAAATGCATAAAGTAATGAAGAACTGACTCGATCTTTAGGTTTCCCTTCAAAAGCAAATTGGTTGGCTGGTTTGCCAGTTGGCATCTTGTATATCTTGAACCATTCATGGGTCGCCTGACAATCAACATTTTAATATCTCTTGATAATAAATTAATTTAAGCAATTCAAAATGAGACCACAAAAAATTAATTGACGTAAATGTAGAATATTTTGAAATGTACAATACTATTTTTCGTTATATTTACTGCTAAAAAGCCTGGCATATGTTCTTCAATGTCTTTCACACCTGCAACATGAATAGCACAAATGGTACAAATCTTTCTACATAAAACATCACCCCAAAAACATTTTAAAAATTGTTAAACGCTTGCTACGGAGAGAACAACAAATGATGCATGAAAAAAATTTACATAATTTGTTTTGTAGTAAAGTCAGTTCGTTTGCCAAAAATGAAGTTATAACTTTCATAGTGTCTTATGCGCAGCTTCTGAGGCGCTACTAGATTCAACGTTCCGTATTCACATTTGCCACGTGTGAAACAACGCATCATACATGTCTTATAAGCTGAAATCTCTTGCATTTGAAACCGGTCACTGTGTTGCAGTGATCGGAACTCTCCTCAGCTAATAAAATCGTCTTCAACATTTGTTAAATTACACATTGTGTAAGCTCATTTATACATGATGGAAAAATTGGAAAGTTAATTTCATTCTAAAGGGCTATTTATTATTAGGTCTCCTAAATTCTCTATTTAAAAATTTAAGAAAATGTTCTTATTAAGAAACAAATGATAAGATAACCAACCATTAAGTTTGTCTGCCAGTGGATCTTTCACATCAATGGCCAGTATCTTCCAATCTGTTTCACCTGTCAGAAACAATGAGATGAGATTTGCTTCAACTAACAAAATGGTTGTATCAATTTTAATATTGAAATTTCAACAAGAAATCAACAATTATCAAACTGTTACGAATTATAACTGAGAAAAAAGTCGTTATTAAAATAAAAATTAATAATTGTTGTGTGTTTAATTACCATTCATAGATTTAACACAACAACCATATACATAAAATTTAGTGGAACTTCAACATTCATAATTCAGTGGAACATAAGCGAATTCTATGCTTGGAATCTTAGCCAGAAATTTCAAGTGCCTAATTGATGACGCATTTGCTTGAATTTCAAACCAGAAACCTTCCTGTCTTTTTTTCCCAGTTTAGTTGTTCTTATTTCAATTTCTTGGGAAAAGATTGGTCCAACCATTTTTACAAAAATAAATAAATAACCACATCATCAACACACATAATTCAATGGAACGCAACCGCATCATCAACACACATAATTCAGTGAGACATGATCACAAAAAAGAATCTAATCTAGGATCAAATACCAGCTATTATAAACTATTTTAAGAAAAAACTTTAATTAATGAAGCCTTATCAATATAAAAAACCTATTAATAAAATGATTTAAAGTCATGTGAACGCAGGTGTTTTATTGATTAAAGTAGAACACAGGTATTTCAATGGCACAAAAAAGTTGTACCTATCTCGAGATAAAAATGTGATGCAAGGGTACAAGGAACATTTTAATTAAAATTACATATGTGTGTGTGTGTGGTGTTTGTATGTATGTATGTGTGTTTGTATATGTAAATGCTTGTATGTGTAAGTGCTGGTATGTGTGTGTGTGTATGTGTGTGTGTGTGTGTGTGTGTGTGTGTGTGTGCCTCATCAGAATGAAACTGTTGGAATTTTTGTTCAGGCTTCTTTAATACCCATCAATTTGAAGGTTAAATTTATTATACATCAATAGCTATTACATTATGTTTTGGAATAATTGATCTTTCAACTTGAAAATATGAAATAAAAGCTAGCGCCAAATAGTTGAAGAGGAGGAGTTAATGATTACATTGAATATATTTCAAAAACAAGGACAGTCAGCTCAAGATCCAGCTCAATTGACCAGCAATATATTTGAAACATGAGCAGCATTTAGTAATAATGATGATGGTGGATATCACCAATGTTGGTGCTGCATAGAAAAATTTTACGTTCGGTTGGTTGGATAAAAAATTTCAGACAGAAGAATGTTTGGGAAAATAATTACAAATAAAAAAACGTACCTTCATCAATTAAAGCCATGACCCCAAGTACTTTCACCTGCACAACATCTCCTCTCTTCTTCACCTGAAAGCAATCAAACAAGAAACAACTTTTCATTTGGTGGTCACTTGAAGGTCATTAGAGTTCAATCAACTAACCTTGTATCCAATCTCACAAACATCCAAGGGATCGTTATCTCCCTTCTGCAATGTATGGGCATCAATATGCTTTGGATTCTCCCATGTCTGAATGAGTTCAGTCAGATAAAAACATAACATAAACATGAAAAAGTAACATAATATTTAATATGTAATAAAAAATTAAGAATCCAGTTAGGAAAACAGTTGAGTACCCACAGTTATTACAACAAAAGTTACAAAACAGCCAATGTGACCACTATTCAAAACTCAACCGACTTCAATTCATAATTATGATTCACAGTCCACAAAATCAATTTCATTGAAACGTTATCCCACTACGATGTCACTACTGTCACTCATCAAACAAACTGAGCAGGCTGAATGTCATTATCTAGCATGATCTGTTAATTATAACTCCTAATTCCGTACTGCTTCCTAGTCCATAAATAAAATTCACCTCACAATCACACATGTATTTAAATATTAAAGAAGGAAGAAATTAATTTATATTTTAAATTTTATTTAAGTTATAGGAGTGATTGATACTTGTGGAAAAGCTCCATAATTCCAGATGTATCCATGGTGTGGAAAGCAGTTATTTATATACCTCAATTTCCCTTTCTTTATGTCCTGTTTGATTGGATTCAATTTCTCTTCTTTGCTTATCTACAAACAAAAGATCATTAAAATAAAAATATGTTTTAACGAGAAAACTTCTTAAAATATTGAATATTTTGAACTTTATGTAATACTATCAATAATTAGGACAATGAAATGTAAGGAAATCCTGAAAACAGGAAATAACACAAAATTTTTCAATAACAACAATGGCAACAACAAAAAAGAGATTAATTGTGTGCCAATTGTGGTTCAAGAGTGGATTGAGCCAAGCATATTGTTTAGAATTGAATTGTATTGAATTGCATTTCATTTTCAGAATAAGAAGTTTTCCATCTAGAGTACCAAAACAGCATACATTTAACTCATTTATGAAAAAACACACATTTCTGATTCATTTATTTGGTTTCAACACATCAAATTCATCAACTGGTATCAATTAGCACATATGAATTTTGATAAGTTCATAACATGACAAGTGAAAACAAGATATTTAAACTTGCAGATACAATTACATAAAAACAATATTAGATATTTACAGGTGGCAACAAAACAAAACCATAGGCTAGCACATTTTGCAGCACAGCTGGAAGGCAAATTAGAATAGAAGACAATTTATATATTTGACAATCATTTATATTGAGGTATGCACAGATAGCAATAATACTAATATTACAGTTTAGAAATTAATCAATGACTCATAATAAGCACTAAACACAACAAACACTAAAAAGTTAAAAAAATTCTTTAAACAGAGAATCAAAGAATTTTTTGACCAATTATGACAATGCATTACTAAAAATAATCACATACAATCTACATTTGTATAGCACACACTCTGCCTTTCTGACTTTTATTCAAAAATTGTTCACAACGGGGGCCAGCGCCCCCCAAATCTGCCATTGCTCACATCCAAGATGTTATAAAAAACAACACAATTGGCCAACTACAAGATTTTCTTTCTGTGAGATAAGTTCCAACCACATTTGATCTAAGGTGTCCACAACCCATTTCTACGATTGTATGAGAGCTCATTTTCCAATTTTTTTGTCATCACGATCAGATATTTCAGCATCCTGATGCATACCACTCAGAATAATGACACTTTCTTTTTTTTGGGACATTGTCCAACCTCATTTACAGTCTACATTGGAACATCCAACGCTTAACTTGCACAAGAGTCACACACAGACTACAATCTGCAGGCTTTAATTTTATACACTGGCGAAAAGGGTAATTGCCTCTATAAGCAGTAGAAACAAATTGTCACAAAATATATAAGAAAAAAAAATTTGAAATGATAGGTAGACATTCAACTAAAAAAACATATATACATTAAAATTATAAAACAATAAAATTAAAACTAAATAAACATTGAAAATTAAGCATAGACTTGGACATAGTTGGGGTGCAATTGCACTCCCGACAACATTAATGCAACTAATTGTGAATCTCTAAAAATTTCATGCATATAAGATTGATATTATATAAAAATGTTTACCTATTCAAATAAATAAAAGTCAAGAAAAGTTCATTATATTAAACATAACTTGGTTAAATTTTAAGCTAAATTAAAAAGTGGTTGGCATCCCAACATTATTAGAGGATTAAGTTTAGTCATAGTGCCAGATTTTTTTTAGAAATAAAAATACGCTTTTGAAGACCCCATAAGACAAAAATAAAAATAAGCACTATCACAACCTCCATTTTGGCATTTGTCCATCTTGGTACCTCAACAACCATGTTAAAAATCTTCTTCTCCTTGCTAGCATACAATGGTATGTCATGAAAAGGTGATACATAGCCTCCATCAGGCCCAACTACATTAAGTTGTTGAATAAAAAAAATTAAATATAAGTAAAAAAACTGATTGAACCTTTTAAAATGTAATTGTTAAATCTAACAAAAGTTTAGTTTAGAATCTAAAACTAAGCTCATAAAAATAAAAACCATTTGTATGATTATCAAGCTTAGTTGGCTGTTTATTTTACTGTTTACTTAGTTAGTTCATTTTTAGTAGAGTAGAGTACTTTAAAAAACTTTTTCCAGACAACTCTAATTTTTAACTTTTGTTAGTTACTTAGGCTACTTAACTACAATTGCTGATTGATCATGGTCATGCATGATGCATAGCATGATCATATAAAAAAGATACATTTTAAAATTAATAATTTAAAAATATAATTATAAACAAGGTGTTAACATTCCAACGGGTTACATCATCCATCACAGCATGCCTAGATTCATTCACATTAATAATTAATTTATTAATAATATAAAAAAAACCCAACCGAAGTAAACTTGATATTGAAGGGAATTGAGGGCACCTTTCTCAACGATTGAGTAGGACATTTTATTCGAAGATGCGATCCGAGCAGACGCTGTCCCCAACGAACGAAGCGACGAATGCAGAGGCCAGCAAGCAAAACGGGGAAATTTATAATAATGGATCTTCTTACTTCTCACGCACGTCGTCAAAATCGTTCGTACGAGGCCGACCGTCATTTTAATCACGCCCATTCTCTCAATGATTGGCCTCCTTATAATCATTTTTTCATTTTTAACTATAGTATTTTTATTGACATATTTAATGGCATTTCATTGAAAGCGATTGTTTAATTTAAAGAAATCTAACATCAACAATTATAAAAAATAATTGCTTAATAGTTTTACACTCACCACAGTCCATCTCTACTAAGACGTAAAGTAAAAATTCACTTTTGTTTAGGGAGAATCAAAATCGAAACGTTGGGCATTTAATTTTTGTTTAAAGAGATATTTTAAAATTTTGTCCAAACCTTTTTTCTGATAATTCATCAATAAACTTACAATTAGTTTTTTTATTTAAATAAAGAAACAAATTAATTGACATGAGTTCAAGGGAGCACAGGTAGGGCCACCCAGGCTTTTCTAGTTTTGTTTTTTTTGTTCTTTTTCTCTTTCTTTTGTCTTCTTTCTCTTTCAATCTTTCATATTTTAATTTTTTAATTTAATTTTGTGATTTTTCTTGCTTGAAAAATTTAGTGTTGTCAGGTGCATTTTAAATTAAGTTTCTAGTAATGATCTAATTCTAATGAATGAACAATTTTTTAATTTATTTAAAAATTTTAATTATAAATATAATTTATATTATAAACTTACTTTAAAATTGAAATTTTATGCTACTAACTAAACTAAACTAATTAAAATAAAAAAAAGTCTGTCTAACAAAAACTAAAACCGAAGCAGTTCATTTTCTTCTTTAAATTTATCATTAATTAACTGAATGACAAATTAATATAACTTACAATTACATATCATATTCCAGCGTTGATCCATCCATTGAATTATGTAGTACAGTTAATGAGGTAAAAACTTCATCAGTAGATGTCGAGCCGTTACGGAATGAAAAAACAGTTTTATTACACGCCAATATACCAAATGGTGACACCTGCAGTAAAATTTGTAAGTTCTCATTATAATTATTTATTGTTCTCTCTGGATTGTGAAATGGTTGTTTAATTAGTGTTAGTCTGCTGTTAGTAGAGCAAGTTGTCATTTAATTCTTAAAATAATTGTTTACTTTTTACTTTATTTAATTTACCTAGGTAGTTCTGAAAATATTATTGCAGAATAATTTTTTAAATTAATTTCTGCCTCATAAATTTATTTAATGCGTACTGTTCAAAAAATTTGTTTTTAACAGAATTCTTTTAAGTTTTATTAAGGAAGGGAATAGGTTAATTGAATTTTTAATATTTAAAGTAGTTGATGTTGCTAATTGTTTTCAACATAATCTGCCTTCAAAAACAAGAATTTTTATGAAAATAATATCTGAAGACATTTTTACTTTCCACTAATCTTCAATTTAACATATCAGGTTAAATAATAAATGAAAACTACTAGATTGAAAAGTGTTCTTTGTTATTAAACTTCTTGAAAATAAGCATGATTATTAGCATAAATTAACATTTGAATATTGAATTAAATTTTTTAGTTTAATTTTAATCTTTCAATTTGGAAATTCAAAAAACTTTTCCAAAGCTAATGTCCAATGTTTCTAAAGCCATCCAACTTGAATTTTCTTTACTTCTATTTTTCAGCAAGTTGTTTGTAGGGAATTTTTTAATTTATGTTAAAACTGGGCAAACTTTTTGAAAATTAATTATATAAAATTATTTTTAAAGATAATGAATTTTTATAAAAATTGATTTTAATTCTTTTTTAATAAATTTTTACTTAAATCATAAAATATGTTTAAAAAAGTTTTTACAGACGTTAAAGAATTTAAAGAAGAACAAAAACCAACAGATTTGGTTTCATTCAAAATTGTTTACAACAAACAAACCTACTCAGTAACTTTACCTTTAGACGACACTGTTGAATCACTAAAATTACACATAGAAAAGCTCACAGGTAGATTTTATAAATTTTCATGTTTTTTAGCATTTTTTGATTATCATAATTTTTTTTACACTGCAGAAGTCCCTATTCAAATGCAAAAACTGATGTTTAAAGGTTTAAATGGATTGATTGTTCTTTTCATTAAATGATTCATTTTGAACTGTTATCGTTAAATGGTTTGAATTTGCAGGTCGAATGAAGGAGGAAGGAACATTGAGAGATAACAAATTAACCACCGGGTCAAAAATAATGGTGGTAGGTAGTACAATGAACGACGTCATTGCCGTTAGTCAGGCATCTTCCTCTGTTGTTAAAGAAAGCAATTCAGTTGCTGGAACATCTAACAAAGAACCGTTGTCCAAACAAAAGGTTTTAACTAATGTAGGATTTTTCAAAACACCATCAGTGTCTTCAATGAAGTTTTATATTCTCCTTAGCCACATAAGACGGTTTTAGAGAAGTATGGAATGCCTGATGATGTGATGCCAGGCATCAAAAATTGTCAGGAACCTCTGCCACGCATTCCATTATCAGGAATGTACAATAAATCAGGTGGGAGAGTTAGATTAACATTCAAACTTGAAGCTGATCAGGTATGGATTGGAACAAAAGGTGAGACAAGGCATTTTTTATAATTGATTAAAAAAATTAAATAATTTTTCTTATTTTAAATGGCCTTTCTGAATATTAACAAACAGAAAGAACGGAAAAATTGAGTTTGGGTTCGATAAAAGCAGTTGTGAGTGAGCCAATTGATGGACATGAACAATATCATCTGATGGTATGCATTCTAATTTATTCCAATGTGCACATTCAAATAGTTTGCTTATTATGCTTCTGTTTACTTTAATAAATTGTCCCGAATTTCGCATGCATACAAATCAACAGCTGGTTGAGTAGTGATACCACTTTTGGCAGAGTGTGGGAATTTTTTGTTGAACAACTACACTTGGAAAGCTCTGCACAAAGGAATGTTAAGAATGTAATATATGTTGCGTGAGAGTGAAGCAGGAACGCTAAAGTTTAAGAGACGAGCGGACTAATTTAAGGTGCGATGTTCAGTGACCAACAAAGTTAATAATGAAATAAAGAAGAGATGAAGGAAAGAACATAAGGCTAGAATCGTTTGACAATAGAAAAATATGAAATTTAAAAACTCACTGACTCTGTTATGCCAAATGAATAAAAACTTCAACTAGCCTAATTCGGACTCAGATTATCTTACAGACAAAAGATTTGGACAATAAAGTATAAACAATATGAGAACTGCAACCTTTGTAGTTTGTTGGTGGTAAGTAATTTTCTATGCAGTCAATTAATAGTATACAGCTAACGTGGCGCAAAATGACATTATGACATTATAATACATGATGTGACGTAATTTAATAAATTGTTTTCAGGCCTTGCAGCTAGGACCTACGGAAGCCTCTAGATATTGGATATATTGGGTACCTAGCCAATACATAAACGCCATCAAGGATGCCATTCTAGGCAATTGGCAGTTTTTTTAAAATTCAATGTTTAAAATATTTTCGCACAAATATTTTTGAACAAAAGAATTGCACAAATATATAATTTAAATTAATAAATTGGTATCATTAAATACATTGTCAAAATTTTCACGGGTTTATATGTCGCGCTGTACTGTGAAATTTTGAAATTCGTTTTTATCTTTTTCGACCATTGTGTGTGCGAACTGTGTTTGAAATAATCAATTTAAAATTTTATTTTTTTTTTATTCCTCGCTCTGACTAACTAGCGCACAAAGGTACTCGGTATGTAAATGATGTAGAATTGTAGATCCTTGTCTTAGTCTTCCAAATAAAATGATAATGATGATATGTGGTGGCCTCAGTGGCACTTATACGAACTTATAGATTAATTATAGGTGCTCTAGACCTTTTTTAAACTCGCTTCTCAGATCCACCTGGAAAATGTTTTACGACGGCAGACACCACTGAAAATCGTCGTTTACCACAACTTGATGAGTTGAATTTTGGCAACAGATTGCCATCATCAACTGACTTCATGTGACGTCGTGTCGGAACATCGAGTACTTGTACTCATTACCAAGATATCCAGGTGCCGCACCAGCAAGACAATCCCAGACAAATAGCGTTATTTTGAATTTTATTATTCGTTCAATTAGAAACCGAAAAAGGTTATCTCGAATATAATATGAGATAGGGCAATACTGCCACCCACGCCATCACTGATGCGTCCCCCACCAGACCGTAAAAACATTGAATCCTTAGCGAATTAAGTAAATGGAAATAAGGCAAAGGATGTCATCAATTGAGAGTTTTGAAAGTCATTTTCCATTCCCCACACTGAAACGGAAATCAACAAAAAAAGTCATCAAATTTATTATTTGAAATCATTCACCCAACGCAAAGAATTCTGGGTACGCAACTGCATGCACTGCGAAACGGCATCAGGCGACCTTAACCACTAAGCCATAAGAAGTTGATACTAAAGGGTAAAGAAAAATTTGTTCTTTTAAAATTATGTTCATACTAGGTTTTTTTGGATTCATGGCATATGGCTTTTTCATTCGCATTACACTTCAATGTGGAAAATCGTCTCACTATGCCACTTTTTTCACCAGGTTTGTTTTCGTTGATTTTCCAAAATCAGTGCATACGTTTCTGTCGTGGAAAGCAATAATTATGAAGAAGTGCTCTGTTAAAACCTTGATCATCTCACAAATGACACTTCAGTATAGACAAAATACAAAAGCACGGTATCTGAATTAACTGTCGCGGTGAATATTGGACTGACCATGGATTGATTAGGATTTCTCCAATCTTCACGTTTATTTAAAAAGAAAAGACTCACACTTGTTACATTTAGTGTGCTGTTTGGCTGATTATAATTGCCTTGATCATTATTCATTCACTTTACTTTAATTGCAAATTTAACTAAGCTGGAGAGCTTCTTGACAGCAACTCCGACTATAATTCATTTAAAATTTAATATTTTATGGCAATATTAACAAAGACAAACAATGGCGGTTAGAAAACTAGTTCCTCCACAACTTAAACATAATTAATAATATTAATTTTTGCCTTAACTAAAATTAACTCTAAAGACAAGCAAATTTTAATTAATTAAATTGCTAGCTTTTTAGTTTTGTTGAAAATTTGTAGTTGGTTCCACCATTAATTTAAGATGAATTAGATTGTGTTAATATTCGATAAACGGGATTGTGATTTTATTAAGTACATTAGTTTTTATATAGTTCGAATAATACAAACAATAAAAAGTGATTTCTTTTTGACACTGATAAAAATTTTGTAGTTCGTGTAATACAAACAATAAAAAGTGATTTCTTTTTGACACTGATAAAAATTTTGTTATTAATCAGTAAAATCTAATAGTTATAATTAGAAAAAATCTACAATTTTCATGTTTATCAAATGACCACTAAGTTTTGTTCAAACATCTACTGTTTTTAACGATAAATGGTTGAGACTGGCAGCCATGGTTTCGATGCGGTTTGAATATATTTAGCTTGATGATTATTTTCTTTTTTGATTTTTTTATGAGCGTTACAATGAATAGAAGGATCAAATGACCTAACAGTGATGTGCGACAGAGGAAACGTTCAAAAAATAAATTTCAGTGGTGACCATTGAATTATTCGTGGGTGCTGGGAAAAAGAATGAATAAATCTTTATTTCAGAAAAATGAGGATCGCTAACGAATAAATCTTCGATTTTTCTGATGCACAAAAAATGGCAATATCCATTTAACGATTAAATACGGTTATATAAACCTTATAAATTAACCTAAAACTTCACGGAATGTTGAAAACGAAATAAATTTTAACAACGAGCTGAATGCAGATCGGCAAAGAGTCATTAACATAACTTCGGGAAGGCCAAGATTTTTCTAATTATATCTCAGATTTTTCTAAAAATAAGCCAAAATGCTCATGAATAATTAATTTTTAGGAACTTGCTTCCAGAGGTAACTTGCCCGTTGAAAAAATTTTCAATGTTAAAACGCTGGTAGGGCACTTCCAGTTATATAATTCCATGGTGGTGACTGAAGCATAATTTTAGTGGTTAATGATAAATTGGCGTTCTCGGCTCTATGGAAATTGCAAAAGATTTTTTTAGAGTAATATATTATTCCAAGCATATAATTGTACCTTTATATACTAATGATAATTTGGCTTAGTAAATAAATTTTTTTTCTGCTTTATTAACTTTAAGGATCATTTCGAATTATATAACCCATCTTAGATAACGTTCGTGTTGATGTTGCAGCGATTGTTTACTTGATCATAAGAACAATATCATCGGCCATCCATCCACCTATTTATAGGTACATTCATACATAACTAGAGGTATTTACTGACCAATAAACCATAACAAAGACTTTATAAAAGAAAATCTGAAAAATTAAAACGCAGATGGTTCCGTTTTTGGCTCGATCTTTTGCACCACACCTAACATTTCCTTTATCAGCATCAGCATCATTAATATATCTAGCAATTTTTTCATCATTGACCTGCCGACACCAATCTTTATCTTTGTCAAGCTTCTCTCTAAATATCAAAATTTAGACTGCATCGAAAACTTACATTCCTAATTTACCGTAATTTTTCTTTAGCTCAGTTATGCAGTTTAATAACATATTAAATAATTATAAAATAAACTTTGATGTCCAAGATATTGTAATTCACTCTCTGACAAAACCTCTGAATCCTTCTTTAAAAAATAGCAGTAGGTTCAAAACATACCTACCAGACCGTTTTTCGGCTATTATGCCGACTTCTATTCCACGTCATGTAAAATATAAAATTTCCCAGCAATCAAAAACAATTTTGCAACTCCACACCGTTTAAAATAAACCTCCGGACAAGCTCAGAAGCTGCTCATGTAGGTTCTAATGAAAGCTCAAACACATTTATCACAATAGGGCCGCATCATCTACTACATTAGTACCGCGTCATTTCAATGTTTCATCCGTTCATAAAATAGTGTCTCGACGCTGGACAATAGGCCTGCTTGTCCACACTCCTGCCCGTCCATTAAAGAATTCGTCAGCCAATTATTCAATATACATTTTTTTTACAAATTATTTAAAATGTCGTTAATTTTTAATATTAAAACACACCATTTTATTGACAAAGTATCACTCACAAACCTCATTAACTGGTTGTTAATTAAATGCTATTAATAAATTCAAAAATATTAAAAATGAGGCAAAAAATCACTCCCAAAAAGCAATAAAAATAGATTTAAGTCCATCAATCTAAAGTTTAACCTACGGATAACAAATATTTTAACATAAAAAAGTTTAAACCCTCTAATAAAAAAGTTTATTCATAATATATATTTCTGTTCTTATATGTTTGTGCATATCAACAAACTACTACGAAGATGGCAGCATTAAGATCGAGATTCTACAAAATTATACACAATGAAACAAATAAGAGATGACCAAAATAATTAAAAACATCAGAACGCATCGACATAATCGTTCATTGAACATGGTCGCTGATTATTATTAAATAAGTTGAGAACTCGTTTGCTTTTCAAAACTTTTGTTCAACCCCCATTTTTTAAACTGTCGTCGTAAAATTTGTTTAAACTAATTAATTTGCTATCTGTAATACAAAAATCGTTAAAACCATGCTATGTTCAAACTTTTCAAAACGTAACTTCTCAACAGATCTTATTGAGGTAAACGATGCACCAGAAAATCCACATTTTGAAAGCATTGGCCATTTCATCAAAATAATTTCATAGTTTACTCACAGCAGTTCAAAAACCCCACTGTTCCTGTTAAAAATACTACTTTTACTAACTTAACACAAATAACGCTTACAACGCCCCCCAGATTCGCCACTGGTTCGCAGCGACCATGTTGCGGAACATTCAGAATTCAGATTCATTGTACGAATTGAAGATTCGTGTTATTGCTTCATAAAGGTTAATGAGAGTACTTGAAAAATATTTTCATAAATAGCACACGAGAAATATTCTCGTGGATAGCATGAAGGTTGTTCATTTTGATGGTGAAACCAAAATGAGCAGATTACTGTTCAAAATTTGAAACAATCGATATTAGAATTTTTGCATAGTATAAAATAATAAGCTTGTTTACCAATTTAGTATCCCTCCCATTTTCTAAAATAAAAATTTTTATAACTATTACAATGAAGACAAAGTTGATTCATAGAAGAAATATTTAAGTTGAAATGGGCTCAACGTCAACATCCAACAACCATAAGACCAATTTTTCAATTAACGGAACAGCATCAAATGAATTATAATTATACACATTGAATTCGTCTATGTATCTACTTGTATAAAATTTTGAAACATTCCAAATATACACATACCAAAATAGATTATAAATCGTAAATAAATATGTAAATACATACATACATATATAAAAAAGATATACAGACCAAATGGAACAAGAAATTATTTAAAAATCTATCACCTCTAAAAACAACAAAAAAAAGAGACAATAACAAATATAGCGTAAAATAAAAAAAGAAGAGACAAACCGAACTTCATTAAATGTTGAACAAAAACATGAGTCAATGTTAAGAAATTTAAATAAGGAGGATATTTATCCGTTAATGTCTGCAAATTCCTTCTTTTTATTATTCTGAAATATATGTTAAGCAGTATGCAACACTGTATAGTCGCATTTGTAGAGATGAAAAATTAAAACTTCAGTCATTATTCATCGACAAAATTCTGTGACAAGCAAGATACTTGCTAGCTTATTTTACGAGTTCTTGAAAATATGTTCGTACCACATTGTACAGACCTCATGACTAGAATAATGAATAATGTTAAACATTTAAAATAAGAGATAATTTAAGCATATTGTAAAAATCAAGAACTTCTGTTGAATGATTATATAAGATTAGTCAATATCAAGTCGACGCCTTTGCAGAATATTAAATATATCATAGGTCAATTTAAGATCATGACATTCCTAATAGCTAAAAGGACTGAATAATTCATTAAATGTCACAAATTCACATATATTCATGCCAGTTTCATAGGAAAGTTTAATCAATGTTTCAATTAAAAGTACTCGGCTATGATGCAGCAGAAATTTTACAATTTCCAATCCTAATAGACATAATGAAAATTTAGTACACGCGATGTTCACACATGTTTAATAAAATATAAATACATATATAACCGATATTTAATATATACATACACAACCGATATATAATATATACATATATAGTATTTAACCTAATAATATCACATACAAATGTATGCCTACACAATCATACATATCAAAAAAGTTGTAATTAAAAAGAAGTTTGGTATGAGAACGGAAGAGACACCACACAACCACGAACTGCATTCTTTACTATTAAACATATTACTCTCATAATTCAAAACGAAGTCTTCCAATTAGAATGTGCTAAAATAAAAGTACTTTAGGTGAATCTGAACTAATCTGATTCCACTGCCACCATCCACCCGTTCACCGCCTTTCCACTTTTCAAAACATTACACAACCTCGTCTAATAGACTAAATCTTAACGACGCATATCGTACACTGGCTACAAATTCATATCAAACGCAGCGCACAAACAAGAAGACACAACCATAACTCACAACAAATGTAATATTAAAATCTCATTACACCTCTACTTAATGTCACAATAAGAATAAACACTGTCTTCGAATTGGTAGTGCATTATGTGCACGCACGCACCACAGACGCACATACATTCAAACACACACACACACATACACACGTAAGCAGCTTGACACTAACTCAACGTTACATACGATGACATGCCTGCGCAGCGCAACTCAAAAACTCAAACACGGATGCTCCATAAATAAATAAACAAATGAATAAACAAACGAATAAATGAATAAACGTACAAACAAACATATGTATACGTAACACACATAAATATTATATATATATATATATATATATATATGTTGGAAGGAGACCATATTTTATACAGTATTGTATGAATTCTACCGAATTGTTGGCATTAATCAATTTAAAGTTTGATACATGCCAAACTTTATTTTGTTTTGCCTCTAACTCCTGGCAAAGATGAACCTTTAAATTGATTAATGCCAAAAAATCGGTAAAGTTCACACAATACTGTATATATGAGCATGCACACACACACACAAGTACATACGCCTCTAAGTAACAGCTATCGACGTAGTATTTATATAATATAATTATATATCAACGTATTATCTCATATATATATATATATATATACATATATATATATATATATAAATATATATATATATATATATATATATATATATATATGTTATGCACAGAGAGAACGGAAGAGAATCTCGAAATAGAAATAATGTTATTTATTTTTTATTAAAAACCATCCAATAATTTAAATCAACAGAGCAAATAGAAAAAAGAACATACAATCACAGTAGTAAAATGAAACCACGATTACTCATCTTTCCACTACTCTCAAAATTTATGTACAATTGCAAACGTTTATTATTATCATCATTATTACTACATTAATTTTGCAGCTGGAAAAGAAAATAAATCATAAACACTACAACTGGTGAAAAAAATCTGCAAAAAGTAAAAGAAAAAATAAAATAAAAAGCATGAAACGTCATAGAAATAATCATTTAACTGACATTTTAGCCGTATAACAATAATGATAATATTAAAAAGCCAAGTCAAAAAGTAAATCTTCCGAAAATTTTCTAAAAATTATTTTAGCTAAATTTGATGATTTAAAATGAAAATAATTGTAGCAAAAATGATTGCAAACAGTTTACTGGGAAATTGTAAAGAAGTTATTCATTTTGCCCATCAGTGTTCCGACAAAAAATTGCATCTTAATTATTTATTGTTACGATGGAAGTAAGTTCAACAATATCATCATCATTAATTCATTATTTAAAATTTACTGCACATATTTATGAATAAATTAAAAATATTAAAAATGTGTTGTCAATGAACATTTGATCGTACACCATCCACCAGGTAAGTGGCCAGATTCAAACCCAAGCTGAAGTTGGAAGGATGAATATTCCCTCACTCATTCGTTCATTCGCTCCATCAATCCATCATTTGTTTGAAAGCTTTTCATTGGAGAGTGAACTGCCAGCTGAGCAATGGTAGTGCACACTGACCCAGCCAGCTGACTGCCTCTGCCAGATGCGGGTCTCCTCCGAGTGCACCGTCAGTGGGGCACCATTCCTGCCGGGTCGCATCCGTCATAATTAATTTAATTATAATATTGATATATTAAATCACTAGAGAGGAAAGTTGCTGGACTGGGAGGAAGGAATAAATGCGCACCACAGAATATTGTCGAATGGATGAGTTTCTGATTGAAATCAATTATGTGCTAGCGCAACAAACGTTATTTTACAATTTGAATGTGTACAAAAAACTGAGCCATCGAAGATGCAGGCAAAAATTCTTTCAATTTCTAATTTTCTATTATATAAAAATAAAGAAAAATCTCGCCGAGAATAACTACTTAAACGTTGTTTGAAGCTATTTATCAAACTGATTGTAAGAAAATCTTAAGCATTTAAAGTAGGAATTGAATAATTGCATTGAAGACGATTAAAAAAATTAACTTGTCGATTAGTTGTGTGAGCCTCTTGTAAGCGATGAAAGCAGCATCTTCAGATAGAAAATACACATGCGGGTTTAAGATATAAGTGTTTGCTGGCTTGTTAATTCTCTGGTCAACTGAAAAATTTATACAAGTGCAAATAATTTCGTCATATCTTTCATTTAACAGCAAATAAAAATGTTTCCAACGTTTTTAACATCAACATAAAATTACAACCACATATAATTGAAACAAATTATTTCAAACACGTCTGACTCAATGAATAACTGAATTATTCAACGAATTAAAATAACAAATGTGCAACCATTATCGAAGTAGAACTTGTGGAATGAGACTCCCTCGATTAGGTTGCCGCTGGATTCTGGCAGAAAGCAAGTCATCTGAGGATCGGCCAACCGACTGGTGGTTTAATTTTAGTTTTATTTCCAGAAATAATAGCATCATTCATACATCCAAACATGACATAACAGTGGTAAGAGTCAAAAGTTCATGAGAAGAGTTCATGTTAATCTCATACTTCATACCTAGGAACACAGTTATTAATATAATTTTTACATCATCACCACTGCCACCACCATCACCAATTCATTACAACTGTACAAGGGGAATGAACAGAAGAAACGAACGTGAAGAGATCGTAATCTCCAGTGATCATGGCTGATGTTATCTTCTCCGTTAATTTGATTATCTCCATCGCACGATCTGCAGTTGGAAATTCAAGAAAGCAATGAATGTTTGAGCAATATTAGCTACTTACGCAGCGGGAGACTTCATCCTTAAGTTAAACTGAATTTGCATTTTTATTTATTTCACTGACATTTTTTAACTGCTTTTTTGACTTGTTTTGCAGTGTGGTGTTTGTCCAAATTTGTTCTGCTTTAATCAGCTGGCGATATGACTGCTATGTAACATCTACACATCTACAATTATTAAAACGTATTGAGTTTTTTTTCCAGCACCATAACGTATTGGCTCTAGTTTTTATTTTGTGTTGTTTCGTACTTTTTGTATCGAGGGGAACGAACAGCATTTTCCTAACTAGAATCCATTGGATTGCTGTTAGCGGGTTTTGTTGCGTGTGTTCTTGCGGATGTGTGTTATAATTTTTTTGGTGCATTTTTATATTTTTTTTCTTTGAATATTGACTTTATGCTTATGCTAAGAAACGAGTTGCCCGGGGGCGAGCTGTCTGCAAACGCAATAGGGCAGGGCTCATAGAGAATGACCCTACAATAATCTACCATAATAAGTACAGTGCTGTAAAAAATAGAGAAACGATTAGAAATGGTTTCATGTCAAATAAAAGTGCAAAAACAACAAATTGTCAAAAAGTTGTAAGTTAAAAGATGTTTAGCTTCTGTTAACTTGAAAAACAAGCAAACGAGGGATCACTGATCAGATGGTTGCCGTGTGAGGTTCTTCAAGATGTACAACTGCACGTACAACAAAGTGACTAATGAGAAGAAAATTATTGAGAACTAGAAGATGAACGGAAAGTTGAAATAAATAAACTGAAAAAGAGATAAATAAATTTCAAAGATAATCCTTTGCTCAACAATATGGGAATTCTATAAACTACCTCATAAACTAATTTTATAAACTGTCAAAACAAACAAATAAGCATTGCAAACCAAATTAAAATATACGAAGACTAAATGAATTGTGGGAGAGGAACGTACTGCTCCTGTCCTGGTTGACATAATTTGTTTCAGTTTTGATGGCAACTGAAGGAGCAGCGCCCTCCTGCTGGGTTTTAACGTCCTGCTGGTTCTCAGCACTCTTGCTCATCGATACAACATCTTTCATTGTCTTTGAGAACCCTGTCGACAAAAATAAAAGCTGCACGGACCAATTTGAAGAAAAAGTGAAAACAAAATACAATGATGAAAATTCGTATACTTCATTTTATTTCACCAACAATCAACAATAAAATAATAAAAAACAAATATTCTGTTCCGGCAGAATGTTATGATTCATTTTACTATAATTTAAACTTGCTGGTCTGTTTTTGAAAAGACTCTCCTAAACTAACATGATCCAACATAAATGGCGAGTACACACATGATGACATAAATCATGATGATGATGATGGTGATGATGATGATGACGATGATGACACGAGTTTGCTTGATGCAACATAAATGAAACATTTAAAATATTGAAGATTTATTGCAAGCCCAACGATGAGAATGAAGAAAAGTTTTACTGAAACGTAATGTTGAAAATTCAACCTTCAGCAGAATCTTTGTCTGTTTTCTTCGCCATAAGACTGCGGTCTTTACAAGATTATTATTATTATTATAATATAGTTTACAAACGATCAAGAATTATATATGGAAATGACAAAACGAGAATCAAAAGTAAAAAATTTACAGGAATTTTCACACAAAATTTGAATGAATAAATTATGAACATCAATTCGAATTCAGATGATTACAACCAAAAGATTTAGCAAGAACACCCAACAGGCAGAATGATCTAAATTATATAAATTCCAAATGCTCGAACAAGTTACAGAAGAGAATGATGATTCAATGAAAACAACACTAACTTGAGAAGTTGCACGTGGCGAGCATGGTTGTTAGTATAGCACCCTGATTTTGATACAAAAGCAAAATTTATAACTTAGTTTAGTACTAGTAGAAAAGAATAAGCCAGTCATGACATTTTGCACATTTAACATCTGTAAGAAAAATTGAAACCTTGTCACTAAGAAAGATTAAAAAGTATTTGTGTCGTTAAACAAAAGATTTGTGGACATAAATGAGAAATGTTAGTATGAACATTAGAAAACTATCTTTGATTAATTATTTTTCCTATACTACTTCTAAATTTTTTAAATTGTTAGAAAATTTAACGTAATTAATTTTAGAATATAAAATAACTGCAACAGATAGAGAAAAATTTTAGTAGGAAATGAAGTGAACATGAGACCAATACAGACGTCATTGGAGACGGATTGTTATGCCAGTGCTCTAACAACTTGTGCCGCATGGTGCTATCGCATCAAGGCGCACCAGCATTTATATCGCCGGGACACTAATAACTTTCATAACAAACGATAGGCGTGTTGCAGCCCCGACGCCATTTCTTATTTCTTCGACACTTTCATTTCACAGTAGTTTGTAACGTAACAGATGATGAATGACATCAATTTTTAAAGGAAATTTTAACGAAACCAGCGGATAAAAAATTTAAAGAAATGTAAATTAATGTGGATGCAATAATAATTAAAATATAATTTTATGTCATCTATGAAATGTTGCAGAAAATAAAAGCGATTGCACAATGTGCAAAAAAAAATTGAAAGCATTAAAAAAATAAAGCAGTACAAACTTTTAATTTCCTTCTGGCATTGAACTTCCTCAGCGAGTCAACAGTCTGCTGTCTATGCACCATGGCCGCCACTCTCTCCCTTTGCTGATATATTCATGAAGAGATTCAGTGTTAACAAACTCGTAAAAATTTTTATCTCTAAAAATGTTCTCAACTATTAAATTTTGTTAACTATTTTTGTTTATTTTTAACAATTTTTGTTATCTATCCATCTATACATAAAAATTTCTGTTTATTTTTATATGAATATGTACGAGGTTCGTTTATTTTTGTATGTATCATGTAAACGTTTTTTATACAATTTGGGTTGTATTTTTGATCAAGACTTATCTTTGCTTGGCCAAGTGTAATACAAAATTGCTAATTGTGCGAGTCAACTTCTTAACTTGGGTCTCGTAGGATCATCCTAAATTCAAGAAAGACGTACCACAGTGGTAGTTCACTGTTTGGTGCACTCAGTTATATATATACATTCACGTCTGGACTGTTTCAATTGTGGTTCGCCTAATAAGACTATAAAAATGCTCCAGTTGATTATAATCCGTGAGTTTCCAGACAAGTGATTGATTATAATCCGTCAGCTTCCAGACAACTTAATTTGGGAAGTGATGATTTAAACCTGTTGTTAAATCTGGTATCTTGATTGATTTTGTAGATGTTTTGTTTAAGACCGGAGTTATTGCGTGGTCTTCATGATTATTCAACAAGCACATAACGTGTAGGTGGTTTCCACAAATACTGCTTCAATCTCAGAAGCGTCTTTGAAATTGTAATTAAAAGGTTTCATATATAAACCTTAATTTAAATAATAATAATAATTTTTATTATTAATAATTATAAACTAACACTAATCCATGGATGTTTGAGGGCCTGAGCAGCTGTGATTCTCTTAGCAGGATTGACTGTCAGCATGCTGTTTATGAGGTTCTTCGCTTCTGCAGTAACTGTGTCCCATTCGGGGGAAGGATACTGAGGAGGTTTTAAAAATATTAGTTACCAAATATGAATCTAGCAGTTTTAAATTTGAGATGCCAATGTTTATTGCGATTATTTAATACTATATATATATATATATATATATATATATATATATAATATACGTCCTACCTCGGGAAACCGGGTCTCTGGACGCAAAACGAAGATTGATTGATATATATATATATATATATATATATATATATAATAAATTAAATACATTTAATGTACATCAGAAGTTCAAATGAATGATCAAAATAAAACATCATCATTATAGGCTACTGAGCACACCAAATTGAAGCAGTTAGTGAGTTAACAATTGCCAACAGCAGTGGCCTAACATTCACCTAAAACATGCTACTCTCCGGGAAGCCTACTCTTCCTTTTCCAAAACAAACCATCTTATTTTCAGCCTGTGTAAACAAGCACGACGTTTTCAAAGAAAATTCGCACGCACAACACCATAAATAAACTCGTATATATAAAAACATACACACATACACACACACACACACACACACACACACACAGACAGACAAACGCAGTCTTATAATGATATTTTATTAGCTCCAGCTTTTGGTGCGTTAACGTTTGGTCATTGATTCAATGTAATTAAGATAGTACCATCAATAGGTGGACTTAGAATGACAAAGAAAATGATAAACAAACTGTCTACGCTTCAATTAATTTTGTTTTTTAGGCAATACATTTATTAACTATTATGAAAAAATAAGCACACACATATTTATATTTACACGTTTATATAAACATTTAGAACATTTTAAGACATTTATGATTAGAAATGTTTTCAATCACAAAATTCGAAAAAAAAAACAAATTCAATTGAAATAATTTAACTTAGAATTTTCATCAAAAAACCGAACTAAACTAATAACTAAAACAGTTAAATTAGCAACACTAGATGAGCAAAAAACTGACATCAAATGCTCCAGCTTTAATCTGAGCGTAGAGCCGGTGCTGGTCCTCGTCCCAAAATGGAGGATAGCCCACCAGCAAGATGTACAGAATCACTCCTTAACAAATATTCGTGACAATACTTCAATTGTTAAACAATGAAAAGTGGATATCTTTAATCACAAGTGAGATTCCTACAAAACAGAGAGTCATGTCATTAATAATTGGAAATTAAGGAGTATCAATATAAAATTTGTTGCATTTGTGGTTTCTGCTAGTACATAATAAAAAGAAGTTACAATAATCTATGTGATTAATAAGCAAATGATCGTCGAGGTGAGGAGTAATTGTTGAATATGAAAAAGATAAGAATGACGAAAACTTAGTGACTTGTTGAAAGTTATATGAGTGGAATTAGTTATAAATTTTATACAAATTGGAGCAAATTAGTTGATTTTTTGCCTCTTGTACACACTGGACCAGAACGTCTTTTGCAAAGAAATGTAAGAGTAACTATATTTAGCAACATGATCTATTCTATTCTGAAATGCTATTAACTAATTTCACCAGAATAAAACTTTCCTATCAAAAACTTTTCAATTTTGAACTGTGTATCCGTTCTATTATTTCCAATTTTTTTTATTTCATTTTCCATTATATATTGATATGATTCTCATTTCAAACAAGCTTTTATAAATGCCAGTGGTCACATGACTGCATGTCATTTTCTTCCAACTGCCACATCCATTTACTCTAAAGCCTTTTAAAGGATAATTTTTCTACTTATCTGTCTTTTCAGCTGCTTCCCCCATTGGCTAACAAACACATATAATTAAGTCAGCTGGGGAGAAACAAGACAAACATTGGAAATGGAAATAATGGAACCGTCAATGAATAAGTGCAGCAATGAAAAAAATTAATACCGCATGCCCAAACATCCACTGTTTTGCCATAAGGTTCTTTACGAAGCACCTCTGGTGATAAATATCCTGGTGTACCAGCAAATCCTGAAAAAAACATCAAATAAAATTTAGAAAAATTATGAAATCAACACAAAAGTTTATGAAACATATCCACACTATAAACAATTACTCGGTCATTTTTTACTTATATAATAGAAAAAGCACATTTTATACTAATTAACTAATATTTGATTATTTACCAATATCATTTCCAGTTAAATGTTAAAACAACTTTAAGAGAAGATTAAAAAAAAATCACAAGTTATAAAAGGACACTTAGGGTCACAGAATCCCACATAAATGAAATATTGAAGTTTATTTCTAAATGTCTTTGTACGACGATTTGTTGATATACAGGATAGATCAGCTCCATTGGTGCCTAATGATTGTATCAAGGAAAGTAGTGAAAATAAATAAGCAAGGAATAATGACTCTGGCTTTCTAGCCACGTAGGATGTGAAGCTCGTGAGCAAATACCAGTGCCTATGTAAGTCCTGTGTTATAAATGTACACATCTGCTTCATATGCTCTGAATGTGTGAATGTACAGAAGATCAATGTTGACACAAAAGTTTTACTGCAAACAAGTAAGCGATGAAATGTGTTTAAAGACTATTGGTTATGTGGGAACTGCAAACCGAAGACACACCAATGCCTTTCCAGTGATAGCAAAAAATGTTCAAGCATTGTATCAAAATTTTTAAAACGCAACAGCCATCAAGCAATATTTGTGCAATATTCGTGTAACTTTTTGTCAGCATAATACACTGAAAGCTAAAGGTTTATAGAATTCAAACCAACTGACCAAACCATGACTGTTGGTCGCCTTGAACCTCGATGGCAAGCCCAAAATCTGCTAACTTGACTGCTGCTCCATTCATTTTGCTCGCTAGCAGTAAGTTTTCTGGCTGGCAGTGTTAGCATTGATCGGTTATTTAAAAATCAAATTTAATTAAGGTTAAAAATTTAAATCAAAATTTTAAATTAATTTCATATAATTAAAATAAAAAAAATAAAAACTGTTTAAAGTAATAATGAGAACCAATGAAGAAAATATTATTATCATCAAAGACGCCTACATACTTTAAGATCTCTGTGAACAATATTCATTTGATGGCAGTAATCAACACTCTCAAGAATTTGTTGCATACAGTTACTGTTGGGAGAAAAAAAACAGTCTGAAACTTACTATTCGTTATTTTCTAAACAAAACCTTCAATAAAGAAACAAATGAAGCAAATGGGCAACTAAATGCTTCTATTTATTTATTTGAAATAATAGTATCCAAAATCAAATGACTAGCTAGCAAGTAGCTTTTTGAGCAAACACGACAACTTCCTGATTAATAACCGTTTGTTTTAAGCATTCAAACTGCACATCACCAGATGAATGAATTTTAACTTAAAAATATCACATTCTGAGATTGAAATCCACCTTCCCACATGCCATTAAAGAAAGTCAGTCAAACAAGGACTCGTCACATAAAGTCAAGTTAGCCATAGAATCAAAATTAAAACAATTAATCGAACGTAGAAAATTTGAGAAGATAAACTCACCTTGCATCTGATTCGCTGTAAAATTCTCTGGCAACAATATCTTCAAACAACTCACCCCCAGTAACTCTGATGAGGTTCAGTGAAATAATCCCGTTTTTTATAACTTATTATTATTATTATGTTTATTGACTAGTTCAATTGATTCTACATAAAATTTTCTGGCCTAAGCAGCGTCCAAATAAGAAATGAATGTCAAAGAAATAAGCCCCTAAGTGTTCATTGTACCAAAAAACAAGTTGAATAAGTTAGATAACAAATCATGAGCAAAAATCAAAGTGAGGTATTGCAATGGAAAAAACACGAAAAATATATCTGAAATATATAAATTGCCAAATGTAGACAACTAATCTACCGCCTATTGAAACGCCATTGCAATTTCAATATTTAAAAAAAACTAACAGATCAAATATTAGATAATGAAAGCCTTCATCTTGTATACTGTCGTGTAGACGTACTGGAAATTTTAAAAAAATTTTAATTGAAATGCATATAAAAATATTTTAGAAAGACTTAACACTGATTAAAAAAAATAATTAAACATCAAAAATTAAAAAATTGAGTGAAAATGATGAGATCAAAGTGAAGTAACGTAAAGACCTCCTAATCATGATGTTAATGCTTATCTGAAATACTTGGAACAATTGCTTGAAATAAGTTGTTGGTGTTAATTGGTGATCTGAACATCAATCTACTTGAAACAGATTCTAATGTTGCAACATCAAGTTCAACTTCAAGTTGCAACATCATTTAATGCTTATGATAAAAGTGCCAACTACGTCCTACCTCGGGAAACTGGGTCACTGGACGCTAAACGAAGATTGATTGATTGATTGAAAAGTGCCAACTAGAATATGCTTATATTTTTGTCATTCAGACTCGCGAACTCTATTTTTGTAGTTATCAAATCAAATCAAATATTGTATTTATATAGCGCCAATTATAATTGCTTCTCATCAGCGCTCTCCTCGTATGAAGCATGTTGAAAGCAAAGCCATCATCGGTTGAGATCACAAGGAGTTACCAAATAGGTATGTCTTTAGACGTCTTCTAAACTCAGTTAATGATAACTCGGACATACGTAGTTCGATAGGTAGGCTGTTCCAAAAAATAAGCCCAGCAACTGCAAAATCTCTATCTGCTGTTTTCAGATTCCGATCTCTAACATACAGCGTGTTTGAATCTGCAGACCTTAGACGCCCATGTGATGGCATAGATGAAACTCGAATACACTTATCTTCTAAATATTTCAGAGCCAGACCATTCAAACTTTTAAATACCATTACACCCAACCTGAACATGATTCTTTGTTTAACACGCAGCCAATGCAACTCCTTTAGAATTGGTGATGCATGATCAAATTTTAATTTGCGATATATCATTCTAGCAGCCTGATTCTGAACCATCTGAAGTTTAGACAACAGTTTATCAGCTATACCATATAGAAGACTGTTACAATAATCCAATCTAGAGTTGACGAAAGCATGTACTAATAAAGTCATTGTATCTCTATCTACCGATTTTGTGACTTGACGTAATTGACCTAGTTGGAACATACATTTTTTAACCAATAGACTGACTTGTGGACCCATTGTCATACGGGAGTCCATCACAATTCCCAAATTGGTAACCGTTTTACTGAAACTTATATCAGTCATGCTGATGTTAATCGATGAAGGTTCAACCGCTGACGTTTGTTGCCATGTACCAGCCAACATGAACTGAGTCTTAGCCTGATTCAACTTTGGCCTACTTTGACCCAGCCACGAGCCGACATCAGATATAGTTTTTGTCAGTTTCTCTAATACGGTAGGCATCTCATCTGGAACACATGAAACGCATATCTGCATGTCATCTGCGTACCCGTGACAATAATAACCATCTTTATTCATTAAATCCAATATCTCTGCAACGTACAAATAAAAAAGAATCGGTCCAAGAACAGATCCTTGAGGCACCCCTGACGTAAGTTTCATTGGTTCCGAGAGACCACCTGAGTAAGAAATCTGCTGAGTCCGACCAGTGAGAAATGATTCGAACCACGTTAACGCAATCTTATTTAAACCATAACAATATTTCAGTCTATCCAGCAGGATTTTATGATTCACAGTATCGAACGCCGAACTCATGTCCAGGAATGCCAACAAAGTTACTTTTTGTACATTAACTGCTGAATAAACATGAGGGAATATATCCGATAGAGCTGTTTCGGTCGAATGAAACCTTCTGTATCCAGATTGATGCAAAGGCCAAATACCATTTTTATTTATATGATTATTTAAAACTAACTCAACGGAACGTTCTATAATTTTAGAAACGAAAGACAAATTTAACACCGGCCTATAGTTTATCAGATCTGATTTATCTAATCCTGTCTTCTTTAGAATTGGCGTGACAATTGCATGCTTGCAAACCTGTGGCATTACACCCTCCGTTAAGTAAACAATAAAACAGTCAGCATATTCTTTGAATACATGCGTCGGTATTGGGTCTAGTGAGCATGACTTCGTAGGTGACGAATTAACAACTTTAGATATCTGTTCTTCGGTCAACACTGGAAACGATTCGAGTGGAAACATAATATTAGTATTAGTAGAAATAACTGGAAAATTAAAACATTCAGTTGACTTTTCGGTCACTTTCAACATCAACTTTCAATATATATATGTTATATATGTATATATATATGTTTACAATATTCTATAAATTCTACCGAATGTTTGGCGTTAATATGTTTGTAACGCCAAACATTCGGTAGAATTTATATACAAACATATCAACGCCAAACATTCGGTAGAATTTATAGAATATTGTAAAAATTATGGTCTATTACCAACATATATGTATGTGTATATATAAGCGTGTGTATATATAGATGTATGTGTTTGATGGAAGATTAAGTGTTCGTATGATTGCTTTCGGTTATTCAGACTCATGAACTCTATCTTATAGTAATATATATATATATATATATATATAATATTATATATATATATTATTATTATTCATTGCATTTATATATATATACACTAATTAATATATACACATTAATTTATTCCGAATTCATTCTGAATTCGAAAAAACGAACTACAAACATATTAACGCCAAACATTCTGTTGAATTTATAGAATATTGTAAAAATATATATACATGCATCTTTATCTTGATTACTGAAAATCAAGTTCAGCACAACAAAGTCTTTAATATTTTTACTATGAATTGTTGAATTTAATGTTGTATTTTTTCAATCAATAAACATCTAACGTGAATCAATTTTTGCTACTTTGCCAACGAAACAAAACTTGAATTATCTTTAAATTATTGCTGGCAAATAAACATTTTGATCTTATTCTGAAATAAATTAAAATTAATTTGAGAGTGTTATCAACATTTGCTCAAATATTACATAAAATAACAAAAGTAATTTATGCATGCATCATCAATTCTCATGAAATTCAAAAAGCTTTTTAAATTTTGCTGTACTTAATTAAATGTATAATATATCTTCAGTTCATAACAACATAAATATATTAGTATTAAATTATCATTAATCTTTGAAAAAATGTATCAGTGTTAGCAAGTCTCATGTCATGTTTAGTATTATGAACAATGGAATAATTGTTAACAAGCTGAATAATATATAAATGGACTATTTCTACTTCATCATTCCATTTTTATAATTATTTATTTAATTTCAAAACGTTCAAAAAAATGTTTTCCAAAATTAACCTGGCAAAAAAAATCACTTTGAAGTTGGCAAATTTATGAGAAAACTGTTTAAAATTCAAAATGAAAAAAGGCTTCTTCAAGTTTGAAAAAATTTGAAGAAATGGTGGTAAGAGGATAGTTGAAATAAAAATGTCAACAATATCAACCTTCATAAAAACATTTCATGCCAACTAAATGTTACCTTTTAAGTAATGAAAAGACATGGTGATTTTAGTAACTATAGTAGTTGATGTAAAATTACACCATACAAATAGTTTTTGCATAATCAGGTAAAATGAAAAAAATGGGAACCAGTGTTGGCATTAGGTGACTGTAGCAAAATGTTTGTGAATAAATTTATTAGACTCTTAAAACTATTTACAATTCAAACGCAATAGAAAATTACCAATATTCGGATGTTTCAACAGTCTGCAAATTCTGGCCTCTCTTTCAAGTTTCTGGTGATCTAAAACATTTAAATTAATGTAACTGAAAAAAGGAAGTTGTGTAAATGAATTGTATAAAATCAACAAAAAAGTTTGAAAACCATTGTGGTAAAGAATAAACAATTTTAAAAAAAACGACATTACAGAAAAGGACATAAAAAAACCTCTAGCTGATAATTTCTTAGTATTGATGATTTTTGCAGCAAATTCATATCCTGTTTTCTTCTGAGTGCATCGTCGAACAATGGAAAAAGCTCCCCTTCATAAAATTAATTTTATATGAATAAATAAATATATAAATTATATAAATAATAATACCTTTAATTGTTAAGTCAAACCCAAAAAATAAATCAAATGAAAAAAATGATCAGATCAAAGAGGATTTTAAGAAATCTTCAGACAGACCACTAGTAGAAAAAAGTTGGTTTAATCATAGGTATTGTTTGTTGCTCAGCTCATAAAATAACACATTAAACGAACTTATAAGAATATCTTTTTTAAATTCTTTAGTTATCATTTGACATTTATAAGCTAATAAAACAAATTTGAATAATTATCAAAAATTCAAAAACTCAGTTTTTTCTGTCAATCTAAGATTGTAAATTTCAAGATTTCTAACAACACTTCATTTACATAAAGCTAAGATTAAAGTAACCCAATTAATGCTCAAGAAAATTTTTTCAGTGTGAATATTAAAACTTTTAGTTGTATCAGTAAGCTGTAAGCAGCTTATGAATATTATTAAACCGTAACTCTAACGCTTTACCGCTTTACAAACTAGGCATGTGTGTGATGCTAAAACTATATATCCAACATAACATCATGTTAAGAGTTAAGTAGATACATATCAGAAAAAAATTATAACTAAACTTTACTTTCCTGACTATATCTTGTCTATTAATAAACACACTTAAATTGGGTTTAATAAAGATTAGATTAGGTATAAACATAAATATATATATATATTACGTGTAATTTATGTATAATAATAATCATAATGAATTATACATATGTTATAATAGCAAATATACATACAACTATAGAACACACCCACAGATTACATTACACAAACTTTGTGCACAATGTATACAAATGTAATTATGAATTAATTAAACCCAATCATAACCCAATCATTAAACCCAGGCTTATGTTTTTTTTGTTACAAATCTTTATAAAATAAAATAATAAAAAAAACAGTGTTGTCATTACAAAGTTATACTGTATTGAAACTGTCAAAAATTAGTTTTTTTTAACTGAAATAAAATTGCTTTGTAATTTTGTATGTGTTTTGTCAGAAGTTTGGGTTTGGTTTTTGGCGAATTAGTAAATTATGTTTTTGTTATTTTGATTTTGAAGGTATGAAATATGAATCCGTTTCAAAGTGTTCCGATTATACAACTGACAGCTGAAATAGTACGCTTTAACTTACAATCACAAAAACTTTAAGACAAATTTAGCACAAACTTTCCTAATTCTTCTTTCAATTCGTAGAGATCAGTTATTTTAGCAGCTGTGCACTGACTGTTGTTCGCCATGTCGAATTCTTAAAAGGAGAGCTTCATAAACATTGCATCTCGTGGGCGCTGCCAAAATAAAAGAGTTAAAAATCTAATTCGATGGTCTATTTCCCATGTACCCACCAGATATATGAATTAAACGTTGCGTTTTAGATCGTCTCTTCGTTCTAACTTTTAACTCCTGTAAAACATTCTTATGCTAAATATCTACGTTTGCTTTTATTTTTTGGCCCTTTTCTCTGGAACTCTCTACCTCCTTCTCCATCATTTATGTTCAGAGTGAACCTCAAGAACCATTTGTTTGTGAAATTTATTGAGGAGAGCTGTTGAAAATCGCAAAAATGGTTTTTGAGTAATGGACATTTTGATTGAAATAAATTTTAGCAGTTCAAGAGGCTTTTTAATGTTTTCAAGATGCTACTTTTAAAAAAATTAAATATACATAATCAACTTATTTAAGTTATAATCAAATTCTTTATCTTTCAAAAAAAAGTTTCTTCCTCAATGAATGACAGCAAAACCATTTCATTTACTTCACATGAATGAACGGAACGCTTATTTGCACTGGGCTTCCCGTTGTGAGCAATTTTTTAATAAGTCAGAAAAAGGACCGTTTTATGTATAAAATCGACAAAAAAAGGTTGTCAGCGACACTATCACAAATCTTGGCCTCCCGTCAAAATTTAAACATTTTCATAACTTTGGCTCTCCACGTCAAAGTTATCTAGATCAGCCATTGCTTATTTGCAATGGTAAAACGCATTTGTTTGAAGCGTGTTTATTTTGGACTGATTCTGACTAGTAGCAAAAACATTTCTTTTTAATTTGTCATTTTTAGCATCTCACAAATGTTTTCGCTTGTTCTATCGCATTTTCAACCAGCTTATTTCTTCCCGTACAGCAAAACATTAATGGCCGATCAACGGTAGTTCCAGAGGACATTTAAATTGGCTTGTGTTAACGGACCAATAACAGACCGATCTCAGGTCCGTTAACAAGTTGTTAAAGGATTAAAAGGTAAAGTTAACGGCTTGAGTTTACCGTTCGTTAACGTTGCTAACGAGGCATGTTGATGGCCTAACGAACTGTTACCTTAAATAAATGTGTATGCTAAGCGTTTTTTTTATATTTTTATTCAAATGGAGAAAACGTAACAAGTAAAAACATGTAAAAACATATATTTGCACTTTAGATAAAGTCGGAAAACTCAAATGTAATGAGGACTTAATTTAGTTTTTCATTCATATATATAATATATACACATGTCGATAACAGAGGGAGGGAAGAGGTATGATTTAAATCCGCCACTGCCTAGCAATAAGCAAAATTGCTATAAAAGATGACAAATGCGCACCGCATGCATCTGTTCACAACTGATCATTCCGTGCTTATCACACATCGTGCTAAAGTATCGAGTTACAGCGCATAATTTGCACATTGACGGGGGAAGCTTATGCGACTTCATATTCAATTTTGCTTTCCAGGATCCAAAATAATTTTTCGTAGGACGTCCATTTCTTCTTTCAGACCAAGAACTTTATTCAATCGTTTAGAAACGGCCTGCCTGGAAAATATTAACGAAGTTACAGATTATATAAGTCGCCATACCTTGTTCACTTTGAAAATGTTATAATGGTGTAAAGAAACGAGGTGGTGCAATGGCATAACGGTCATCAACTTTCACATTGAAAGTAATGCGTGGTTTCGACGAAAATTAATTAGGATGGTCGCTTTTTTTAGCCATAGTTAAATAACGGGCCGTCGACATCAACACAATTCATTTCAAAAACTTATTAAGGAACGTAAATGAAAAAAAAGTTAATCTTAATACATGTTAAGTAAAATCAATTTTATTTAAATTTGATGGTTGATTGGAGAAAAACACTTCTGAATTGCATTCTCTGATTGTAATGGTGCACTGATCAGTGGTCACATCTGTTATGCAAATCTTGTCAAGAAGTTGTCGGGATGATTCAGGTATTCCCCAGATATTTTCTAAGCAATCAAGTCCTGGTGTTTTTCTGTTTGGTTTTGAAAATTTTTGACATAATTCACTATTATTCTGTTTCACTAAATCGTCCTTTAGTTTATTTTTAGAACCAACGGGTCTGCCTCTTTTTCTTTTAACGCTATCAAATTGTGTAGAGGAATGGTTGTTGGTATTTACAAAATTACTATCTCTTGGACTCATAAGTGAACACTTGGGCGGTCTTCCCCTTTTTTTCTTCACACTCTGCAAGTTTTCATTATTAATTTTCAAAACTTGCTCTCTGGAGAATGAACATTTAGAACTCGACAATGCCTTATCAGGAAATGAGGTTGGAGTTTGTATAAATGAATAACCAAGATCTTTTTTGGCATTTAAACTTTTTGACTGTGATTTAGTCTCCAATTCATCTAATTCAGAATCAGAATCTTCATCTGTATCATCACTGTCATCATCACTTTCTCCAGAATTCTTGTTAGTTGCTTTTCCAGAAAGTAAATTTCTCTGTCTGAATAATGATGGTTACATTTTAAACATTTTATATTTAATGATGAATGAAAATTCACCTTCTCTCAAATGCTGAGAACAAGCGGTCATCGAGAATGTGTTCTTTAGGTTCCCAAGTATTGTACCTAAATGTTTTAAAAATTTATTTTTCTTTGCAAATATTTTAACTGAAACAAGAAAATTACTTGCTACTCCATCCTTTCCACTTCACCAAATATTCTGTTTTACCCTGTTTTTGAAAAATAATTTTACAATGAAAGACTGTTAAAATCATTTAGATTTTGCTTTTTTGTGAAAATTTTGAAAACTCACAAGAGACTGTCCATAAAGAATTATATACTTTTTGACTACCCCGTAACTAACTGACAAAAATTTTTAAACTCCACCTCGTTTAAAGCATGTGGCAATTTTTTAAAATCCCCTCTCGAAATATATCATTTGGTTGTAATTGAGCAAATTATCAATATCACGAAAATTCTTGAAAACTTAAATCAACATCTAATAGCATTCAATCAATCAATCAATCTTCGTTTTGCGTCCAGAGACCTAGTTTCCCGAGGTAGGACGTTGTTTTCTTTGCTATCAACTTTTTGCGCCAAATTAGACGATAATGACTAATCCATTCATTTAAATTTAGAGTTTTCATGTCTTGCTCGATTGTTTGTGACAAGGACTTCTTTGGACGGCCTTTGGGACGTGTGCCATGAACTTCAACATCTGCAAAAGAAGTTATGGCACTGTATCCACTTCGTTTGACATGACCAAACCACCCCAGACGGTGTTGCCGGCATTCGTCCTTTATATCATCTAAACCAGCACGACGCAGGATTTCGGTAGATTTGATGTGGTCCTTCAGACTAATTCGTTGCATCCATCGGAGCATTTTCATGTCGGTTCGTTGAAGTTGTTGTTCCAGTTTGGTTGTCATTGGCCATGTTTCTGGACCATATAACAACACCGGACGTATCACAGATTTATAAAGTCTTGATCGTAGTGGTAGTGGGATGTCACGCCGCATCAATATAGAGGCAAGGAGATGCCATTTATTCCAGGCTGCACGTATGCGTGCTCGAACGGCAGCTTCAGCTGTTCCAGTACAATCCAGAACATCCCCTAGATATTGAAATGATGAGACTTTTTCTATTTTAATGGCTTCAAAAACAGTGCTATTTTGAATTTGTTGTTGTGGATTGATGCAAGCAGGACAAACAGAATTGGACACTTTAGATAAAGTACCAATTATTTTTGAACAACGTTTGTAACACCACTGATTACACTGCTGACACTTGATTGAATTGTTACCTACACCAGCTTTACAAACTGAACAGGGCCATCGTCCAGTAGCTGTGGATTGGATGGGTTCACCAGTGTTCATTGCTTTGGTTTTGCTGATGTTGACTTGAATCCATGATCAGTGAGTCTGGTGTTCCAATCTTCAAACATCTGTGCTGCATTCTGCTCAGACGTGGCTGTTAAAACGATATCATCAGCATATACTAGATTCCAAATGTCACCAGTGCGTATCAGTTTTGTGATTTCTTCCATCACAGTTATAAATAACAGTGGATAGAGAATCAAGCCTTGGTGAACTCCTACGCCGATGTCAAATGCATCTGTGTTTCCAACCGTTGTGCTGACAAGAGTCTTAGTATTCGTATACATTTCCATCACAAGTCGAACAAGATATTCTGGAATGAGTTGTCGACGTAGACTCCACCTGATTGGTTCACAGGGAACTCGATCAAATGCTTTTTCAAGGTATACAAAAATGTGTGATAGTTGTTAATGCTTTGCGAGGTACTTCTCTTGCAGTTGTCATGCTGACGTTTTGTACCAGTTTTCCCACAAACTGTAGTTGCAGCTTTCATTAAAACAGTTTTGTATGTACTCCAATCTGTACTGGCTTGCGATTGGTGGTCTAACTGTGTGGCGACAATCTGTTGAAATTTTTCTCGATGAATATTGCTTTTCAGCTTCCACGTTTTGATTCTCCGAGGAATTTGTTTAGACTTATGTTTTGACAGTTCGACAACCAGGTCTGCCACAAGGAGTCTATGTTGGGCAACACATGATTCGCCAGGTATAACTTTGACGTTTTTGAACAGCCTTCGGTGTGGTTGCTTGACAGTGAAGAAATCAATTTGCGTGGCTGATGGTCCACTTTTGTATGTTATGAGATGTTCCACCCTCTTTCTAAAATATGTGTTCAGTAAACAAAACCCATGACTTTCAGCAAACTCAAGAATGCGGTTGCCATCTTCATTCCGTTTTCCATAGCCAAAACCGCCATGTACGTTGTCAAAACCATCTGTTTTCTCTCCAACGTGGCCATTGAGATCGCCTCCAATCAGGATTGTTTCAGATTTTGGTATTGTTGAGATGGTGTCAGAGAATGCTGTCCAGAAGTCATTTTTCATCTCTTCTGATTCGCCTGTCTGTGGTGCGTATGCAGAAAAAATAATCATTGTTTGTTTTTCTATGCGAAGCTTGATCCACATGAGACGTGAATTAATCCTTTTAATATCCAGTACTTCTTGGGCTAGCAGTTCTCTGACAAAAATTCCAACACCATTTTTGGCCGTCTTTTGACCATTCCAGAATAGTTTATATTTTTCTTTGTCTGAGTTGACATGACAGACACCATTCGATTTCCATCGGGTTTCCTGAAGGCAGCAGATGTCAATCCTTCTACGCTCGAGCATTTCTGCGATTTCCATGCTGCTGCCAGTCAGTGATCCACATCATTAAGATCCATATCATCTAATAGCATTGAATCTAAATAAATACGTATAAAATGAAAAATGATTTTTCTCAAAACATTTTATCAACTTAAAATCTACTTCATCTGATTCCTGATTTTTCAAACTTTTAAACTTGACTAGATAGACTTCACCCTATTACATTGCACTTCCTCTACTTTCTTGTCCAATCATTGTTTCAAGAGATAAAAAAAAAATAATCTCTACATACTGTCATTTAGCATATAAGATATACATTAATGAAAAGTGCCTAATATAAAATGCTTGTGAAAAAAAGATTAATGCAGGAAATTATTTGTAAAAAAAATCTTCAACCTTTTTATATCTTTTTTTGATTAATCTTTGAGCAGCAAAAACATGCTCTTCAGCATTTGGTAATTCCATTTAGAAACAATGGCCTGAAAAATAATCACATTCACACACATAATTTTAATTGCATTAAAGATTTGTTGGAAAACTGAAATTAAAAAAATTACATGAAAAAACAGAAGATTATACCTGCAGTTCGCAGCTCTAAATGAACAACAAAGGAAAAGTTCAGTACGTATATATATATATATATATTTGATTAAGACTGTCAGAATTGCAATTATTGATGAAATTCACAGCATGTTCTGCGTTAGTTAACTTCCAATTTAACTTTTCGATTTTTCTACCGGTTGATCGTAAATCATTTTCAAGTTTTTTCAGTCAAAACCAAAATTTCGGTTTATTTTATGCATGATTGAACTGAAAAGCTTTCTCTGTATTCCTATACCATCTTCAGGTCAGACTAAACACAATATCTCTTAATTTAATGTTAATCAAAACAAATTCTTCAAATATAATTGATATATTATTAATAACATGTACTTGTACAAAAATTGTGTCAAAATAATCCAGTACATTACGACAATGTCACAAAAAATATAATGGTTGACTTGAGATGGACATGACATAATAAATTATGTTTCTGTGAAAAGTCAGCCAAATACCTCGTCGCACGTTAACAAACATCCCAAGCCAGCCACTATATATGTTTTGTGATATTGTTCCATTATTTTAAAACAAATTTTGTTTAAATACCTATTATTAATAAATATATATTAAACATTTTATAACAAATTATTTTGATTATGTTAAGAAACATATTTTTTCAAGTATTTATTCACTTTTAAGATTAGTCAGACAATCTAAACTAAATTATGTGATGTTGTCACGATGTTTTGCATTATTTCAAAATAAATTTGAATATATTTTTGGCAATATTACCACGTTTTGCTGATTATTCACTACATCTTACAACATAATAATCTGTGTTTTTATCACTGCATTACGTACGATGTATTCATATACATAATATTCAGCATTCAAGTCAGCCAATTAGTCTGACCCTACCCTCTATCTATACAGTCTATAAAACTCTGTCTATATAAAGTACAATAAGAAAAATACAGACATGTACAATGTACATATGCAGAAGTCACTAGCTAACTATAATAAGAATTAGTATTAGTGCAACAAGTAGAAAACAAAACACAGATTACCACTGGAAAGTGAAAGTTAATTTTAATAATAAATAAATAAATTTAAATTTCAAATAAAATTAAATAAATAGACAAAACAAAGTTGCATTTGGATTTGTTTGATTGAAATAAATTAATAAAATAAACAAAAACATACAGAGACAATTTTGCTTAAAATTCCAACAATTGAACTATCCTGAAAATTGACAGCACCGGGTGGAGAGGCTGATTAAACAACCCACCAAACAATCCAACCAGACAACCCAACAAAGCAATTTAAGCAAGCAATCCGACAGACACTAAGCAGAATCAAACTTACAAAGAAAAAAAAAACAATTGACCCGCCACAGCGAATTCACTTTTAGTAATAGGATATCACAACTGAACAACTGCCGAGCAAAGAAATTTATTTTTTTTTATTCAAATGTGAAAAGAAACGGAAAATTGAATCTTTAGGGTTATACATATATACAAAATAAATACATATATATGTTATATTCTATATAAATGTGGTTATTTTAAACATTTCATAAATAACTTTTAAATCATTTATATATATATAATTTTTAATAATTATTATAATTATTAAGGACGATTCATATAATAAGAATAAATATAACGGCCTTCGCTCATTTTTGACGGTCAAACAAGGAGCTTACTTTCGGAGGGAAATTGGAGGGTGATTTTTTATCGCCCAAGTCAAAAGTTACGATCGTATATTTACTAATTTCGGAATATTGCTTTTATTTAAAATTTCAAAATGTTTTAAAAGGTGATACTAGATGCTGTTTTAGGATAGATATTGCTGTATGACGGTTAAGTATCTTTTTGCATTTTAAATAAAAAAAATTTTTTGTGAACCACCAACAACACTTAATAACTCATTAAAAAAATTAACAGTAACATCACTAAACGACGACTAATTAGTAATTAAATTACTAAACTCTAATAATTAAGCTAAAACTAAACTCTACTGATTCTAATTACTAATTGAAATAAATAACAGATAACACTAACGAACATTAACAGATTAGACTACTAGAAACTACCAACCACTACACTACTACATACTACTACTACACTAACGACTAACAGCACTCGTTCCTAACATCCTAAATTCTATTGCTTGATTGGTTTTAAAATTTTTATTTACAACGCTTAGGTCTGGGAATAAAAAATATACTAACTAAATTAAATAAATAATTGTAATTTGTTCAATTCAAGCTTCAAACTCCCCAAGCTAACTTGCAATTTAATTAAAATTTATTAATTATAAGTGATTCAAACTAAATTATTTTTCATTTAATGTTTTACAAAATATTCCTCATTCTTAAATTGTAGTACATGTTGTTATTAAATTTATTATAATATAATATAAATTAATATAAAGATAATGTGTGATTCCAGTGATTCATCAATCCATGACTTGTTAGATCATGATCATTCAGTTTTAAAGAATCCCCATCATTATAACCAATGAAGTTTGTAAAAATTGTACTTTTAATTTATTATATTTTATGCACTTAGAATGTTGTGTTATTAATTATTATCATTAATTCATTAAATGCTGTGCATACTTATGGCAAGTAAATAAAATAATTAAGCATAGAAATAGCCACAATCAAATTAATTTATATAGGCATGATTATAATTTGGATAATAATAATTAAAAATATCGGTATCATTGAAAATGGATAAAGTCATAAATAAAAAAATAAATCATAAATTGCTAAAAATAATAGTTCCAGTAAGATTTTGCCTTACACCTACATCTTTTTTTCATTCTTATATTATAATAAATGTTTGTTATCAAATATATCAAGGATTGATTTCTCAATCCATGACTAGATTGAATGTCATGATCCTACAGTACCAGAGGATCCCCATCACCATTAGTCAATAAGGTTTTTAGAAATCACCCCAGGCATACCATCAATGTTTTGTAGCCACTTTTTAATGTAGTGTTAATAAAATGACATTGAGAATAGTTATTTAAAACAATCTTATTAAAATTATTGAACAGGTATGACAAGATCACTTTCTTAATGTCCTAGTGTGAGGAAGATGTAAGCCATTTGTCGAAAGATAATCATATGCCTTATGCCCATACAAATGCAGTGTCAACGCAAATGATTTTTGATCAGAGTCATATGTTCTAATTTTTTTAAACTTTTCCAGAAATTTTTCTGTTAATTTATTTGTTACATTAAATACTTGATGTGTATTTCATATAAAAACTTGATTATGCCAATTTAGTTAACTTGTTAAGCATTAATATAAAATTGACTCTACTTGTAATGGTGATTGGTATGATGATGATGATCTCAATCCTAAGCAGGGTTTATTATTCACAATGTCATTATGCCCTTTCTAAGTTTTAATAAAATACATGGAATATTGTTGAATGCATTTTATATTTTTTGTATAGATAAGAATGTTGCCATGTACAATGATGATGTGAATTGCTTCCTTGTGTAACTGATGACATATAAATATAACTAACTTGAAAACATGGGAATGCTTTCTTCAGCATTACCTTCCTTTCTCCATCATAACCCTTATAATCTTTATTACAGAAATGGTCACTGCATATTCTTGCATTTTTTGATGGAAGCCATTTGAAATCATTTATTTCCTGTCTGATGCACTTAATCCAATCGTTTTGCATTCTTACATTTTGAGGAAATCTGAAATTTTATAAACTGTTACAGAAACTTGTGCATTTCTTAAGTATTGCTTTTAATAATAAAATGGTAATCCATGATAGTGTTATATATAATACTAGCTGTCGTAACCGATTTACAATGCGATGGGTTCAAATCCTCGATTGAATAAAATATTCCAAACAGTTATTAAACTTTATTTACAGAAGAAATCAACTATTATTAGTTATTAAACTTTATTTACAGAAGAAATCAACTAATCGTTTATTTCCAGTAAATTCGCACTAACGCAACAATTAACTTTTAAATCTTTCAAAATCTATCGCTATGACAACGTCAACAAACAAATCAAATATCGCTTTAAATAATTCACCGAATCGCTATTCACAAAATCACGAATTTCATTCATCACGAATATCTTGCGACGTGCGCTTTTATACTCTTCGCAAGCGTCGCTTCTAGATTCTTCTCGATGGTCCGATTCTAGCATACTCTAGAATGCTCCAGTCACTAGAACATTCTAGAATACGCTAGAATCTAGTGCGTTCGGTAGCACGGTTATAACATTACCCCCTTCTTAGTTCTGTTCGTCCCGAACATCTTTCGTTCCGGTGTCCGCATGGTACGGAGCCAGTCTATCCAAATGAACGATCTTCATTCTTGCTCTCGGCTTCCGATATTCCTGAATACGGTAGACGACGTCATTCAAGCGGGTGATGACTTGATAAGGTCCTCCCCACCCTCGCTGGAGCTTTGGAGAACGTCCTTTCTTCCGCTGTGGGTTGTACAA